GAGGCGGCACTCGGAGCCCTCTCTGTGGGCACATGTGCCGTTGCCCCAGCCTTGCCTCCCCCCGTGACCCCCTCCTTTCCAGCAGCCCCCCTGAAGGAGAGTCGCCCCCGAGCATGGCCCACACGGAGCAGCGCTGCCAAGGACATGGCAGCCAGGCAGCGTAGACAAGACTCTGCCCTCACACCCATCATACAGTTGATGCTGTAGGGCGCGGGCAGAGGGTGTGGCCGCCATAGCGCTACTGGGCTGCTTGGGTGATCTGCGGCGGGCTTCGAGGCGGTGAGTGGTCCTGTGGGCAGGCAGGGTGGGGGATGGGGGGCAGAGCGGGGGTGGGACGGGAGTGGAACGGGGTGGGGCCAGTTTTTGGGCACTCAGTCTCTAAAAGGTTCGCCATCACTGGTCTATCCAAAGCCACAGAATGCAGTTAAAAGAACCATATAGGACAATGATAAGATGGTGGAATACTTATTTACAAACTCAGATAGAATGGCTATGTAAACTAGCATGAACCAGAATATGTTGGATATCCACAGGAATCTGAGCTTTCTGAATTTTCTGTAGCAATGTAACCAAACCTGTTGTGTTCCGCAATCCTTCACCCATTTATCTCTGCAATTCATACATAAATAAGTTGCAAGAATTATTTTCTGGCAGAATTTTGCAATGCTTCCTTATCAGGAATAGGGAAGGCACTCCAAGTCAATCAATGAGAATGAATGTGGCGGAAGTAGATGGTGAGATAGCATGCTGAACTAGAATTTCACAACTGATTGTAATAGAACTTGAATCAGTAACATTTCTAATGAATGTTCGATTTGTTTCAGTCTCAAGCTGCTTCTGGTATTTCATTCATTAAAGTTATTTGAAAAATAGAAATGTCTGCCATCAGTACAATACTTATTTGGAGTACAGAAATTGGGACATTTATTTGATGGGAGCAAAGACATACAGAGGACTCTAAATTTGCTTCCGTCTAGGATTTGATGGATTTTTGCAGTTCAAATATAATGCAACTAATACATCAGTGGCACATATCCCATTAATATTAGTACTAACATTTATTAGGGTAATTAGCATTGTCATTTGAACTGATCAGATACGTAAAGAATTGCTGTGTTTCATTTATTAACATAAGTAAAGTATTCACATTTTTGAAGAGAGGGAAATTCAGTGCATGCTATGTTAGGCTGTTTACACTATATAATATTAAATAAGTTTAGTTTGTATCGATCACACTTTGTGTGTTACTGATACAGTAATAATGTGCTGGATGAGCTATTTAAACCACTGCAACTGCAATTGGCACACTTACTATTTTAATATATATTTTACTTAGTTTAATTCAGTCATATTTAAGGATACCATCCTGGTAGCAGCAAAGCTGAATGTTCAGAAACATTTTAATTAATAAACACAGGTGGTGCTATGTTTCCTCCATTTTGTACAAATCTAATGTATTCATATGTTCAATGCTTTTCTTTTGTTTCTGAGTTTATTTTCAGATAAATTTTGAATTCGTTGCTATTTAATGTAGAAGGGTTTTTTTTGTTGGTGTTAGTTTACATACTGGTTTGTATAGGACTAAGCTTTGATAAATATCTATCCTACTCTTTTAAGGATAAAACCTTGAATTTTCATTAGGTTTTGTAGGCATTGCCTTTTTATAGTACTGGCTGTTGCCATGCCTGCTTATATTGCAAATAGGGTCAAAGCCTATTGGATCATACACCTATACAGTACTTGGCTGGGTATTGCGGAGATATTCTCCACCTCATCTGGAGAACAGCAAGTTGGGCAAAGCTGGTTTGGCAAGATTTGAAGAAAGGTAATATACTAGATAGCCAGAGGTGAAGAATGTTCAGATGCTGTCAAGACAGGCTACTTCAACTTTGTGTTGCTTTTTGACTGCTTTTTTGTCTTGTGTATGAAGAGACAAGTCCTTGCTTATCGCATCTCTAAAAATGTACTGGCAGTGTTGCTGATAGATAGAAAGCTGCAGGCCAAGAATAACAGATAACAGTTAAATATTGCATCCCTGAACATAGCTAGATCCATTGAAATATTATTGGAATTATACTATATTTCAAGATGTGAAGGGCATCTACCTCTTGAAAATCTTACACCAAGGTGTTCTTTCTGATGTATTAAGTACATGGAAGATAATATCTTAGCCAAAATAAATAGAAGACCTTAAACAGAAGACCTACAATAAGACAGTGTAATTGTAAGTATGTGAATGAGAGGATAAGCAGAGACGTAGGAGGCTATTTATTTTATGGAAATTCAAATTAATTCCTGGACTGATGGATAATATTAAAACAAAAACACATACAAATGCATCTTATTCCTCTCCGAGTAAATTTAAACCAAGTCTTAATTCTCAGCTAGCATAGTAAATGGTTGCGTATTTTAGGAGTGTTAGCCACCAAAATTTGAAGGGCATTAGATTGTGGAAGATTGAATAACAGATTAAAAACAAATTTCAAAATCGGCGGGAAAAAAACAATATAAATGTTTGTAGAAATAAAGGGATCTCTTACTGGTGCTGTAATGACGGCAGGCAATTCCGCAAGCCTCCCAAAAGAAATAACTGAGAGGAGCTACAAGAAAAGAGAAGCCCATTTCCTGTTATTAGGAGTGGGCAAGCCTCTTCTGATCATGACTGTTGAAAAATGATGTCATGGGATCCCATATTGTGGCCTTCAGCTTCCTAATCATCAAATGATTGCCCTCCTCTTGAACCAAGACCACAGGTGAAGTGAAACATGAACAGAGACAGATGGCTCTTTATATAGTCTAAGTCAGAGTTTCCCAACGTTTCCGGCTTTGGGAACTGGTGTAGGGGGAGGGGATAGTTTGTTCAAGTGGCCAGCAAGCATGCGCATGCAGCTCCATTTGCGCAAGCAGCGTGGATGCATGACTGCCGCTCATGCAAATGGAGTGCACGCTTGCGCAAGTGAGGATGTATGTGTGGGCTCACCGGCCATTTCTACGGCCCAGTTGCAAACCCCTTATGGCCCGCTAGTGGGCCACAGCCCACAGGTTGGGGACCCCTGGTTTACACAATGAAGGGTTTAAAAAGGAAAATCTGAGTAGAGGCAATATCAGCCCCACCATATAGACCAAGAAATCAATTCCACAGGTAACCTAAAGGTGTTTATGTACATATGCGTGTCTGTGTTTATGCTCTCCCTTCATATTATATCTCAATGTGTTTGTATATCTATGTATTTGGAAAATATAATGGGCTGTCTGAATTAACTTGGGAGACAGGAAGAAGAGTTGCACCTTAGACAATGGTTTGAAAAGAGACACCTGCGTCCATAGGAAGGATAAGAGTGGAGAAAATGTATCCGAAGGGACCCTACCCAGTTTTCTGGAAAGTAAAGACAGGGGAAGGAATGTGCTTTCAGACATGCAAGATTCTGCAGTATTTCTGTAACCTTACAGTAAATGTAGTATTACAAATTAGTAAGAAAGTTTTGGTTTCCTGCCTAGACTACCTTGAAGGACTGGTGGGCTGCATATGCTCCACTCTAGGTCATGTGATTAGGAGAGGGGCTTAGAATGGAGGAATTGACAGCATTACGGGAAGTAATGATGATGATGATGATGATGATGATGATAAAGTTGGAAGGTACCTTGGAGGTAATCTAGTCCAAACCCCTGCTCAGGCAGGAAACCCTATACCAGTGATGGCGAACCTTTTAGAGACCGAGTGCCCAAACTGCAACCCAAAACCCACTTATGTATCATTGGGTGCCGGGCGTGCGTGGCCCATTGGGTGGGCGTGGCCCATTGGATGGGCATGGCTGCGGTGAACGGCAGACTGGGTGGGACTAAAAAGTTCAATCAATCAATTCCAACTTTGAGAAATCTTTTTTTTTCCGTGAGAAGTTGAAATTGGTTGATTGATTGAACCTTTTTTTTTTTTTTTGCACACGATGGCAGAGGCCTAAAGCGAAAAGGTTTTATAAACCCAGCTGAAGGCCTAGGACTGGGGCGACAGCACGCGTGCCCACTGAGAGGGCTCTGCGTGCCACCTGTGGCACGCGTGCCATAGGTTCGCCACCACGGCCCTATACCATTTCGGACAAATGGCTGTCCAGTTTCTTCTTAAAAACTTCCAGTGTTGGCGCATTCACCGCTTCTGGAGGCAGGTTGTTCCACTGGTTAATTGTTCTAACTGTCAGGAAGTTTCTCCTCAGTTCTAGGTTGCTTCTCTCCTTGCTTAGTTTCCACCCGTTGCTTCTTGTCCTGCCTTCAGGCGCTTTGGAAAATAGTTTGACACCCTCTTCTTTGTGGCAGCCCCTGAGATATTGGAACACTGCTATCAGTGTTGCCCAACTCATTGTCAGAAATTGTCCTTCTAACAGACAGACAGTTCTAAATCCCTTTAGTTAATTGCTTTCCAGCATCCTGTTGGGTTGGAAAGAATAAAACTGAATGTGGCATAGAGGAAGCTCTTCAGATTTTACTGGAGTCTGATTTCTATCATTACATAACTAACCATTTAAGGGACACAAATGAACAACATTTGCAAGACTACAGATTCTCCAGTCCTTTTCCAAAGAAATGTTTGATCTGATCCAATATATCAGTTCATGTTTTTAATATTCCCATGTCTCTTAATGTATGGAAATTACATTGAAATCCTACCTACTGAAAAAATGTCATATGAATAAGTCCTTTGATAATATTTGGCAAACAAAATATTTTATAGCATTAATATCTATATCTAATTCCTGTGGGCTGCAATGGAAACAATCCATTATACAACTTTTAACCATTTCAATTATAAGAATTCTTATAATTATAAGAATTAGGCTTCATATTGTTTTGCTAAACAATACTTGTTTTGTTTCTCATTCCTTCCTCTTTCTTGGACATTTTGTGTGTCTGTAGTTACTGATAGTCTATAGAAATAACTCTAAAGTGAGAACTCACTTGAAATCATATGCAACATTAATAATGCATATTCTATATATTTTTCTTAACAGAAAATTTTCAGAGCTGGTGACACTAATCAGGATGGAAGACTGGACTTTGAAGAATTTACACATTATCTTAAAGACCACGAAAAGAAAATGAAGCTTGCATTTAAAAGTCTGGATAAAAATAATGATGGTAGGATCCAATTTGCTGCTTCAGCTGTATATGTTAAGAGTGCAAATTTAATACAAATAAACAATAAAGCATTTCCACTATGGGTTGACAATGCATTAACAAATTAGTCTTTGCAATCTTATGAAATATGGGTATTCATTAATTAATATCTTCTTGTTAATTTATTAAGGGAAATAAATTATATGTATGAAAGAATAGTCACGAAAGGGTTCTTTAAATCCTCTGGAAGTGCCAGTAAAAGTAAAAAAAATTCAAATTAAGATTGTTATTTATTGATATAGAATTGAGTGCTTAGAGTTAGATGCTGAAACCCTTCAACATTGAAAATGTATCTGTCATGAGGTTGGTGCTGCTGCTATGAAGCTTTGAGAGAAGAATGATTTACATTTGTAATGCAAAGCCAATAGAGGTCTTACAAAAAGGCAGCAGCCTACAATATCACGTTTTGCTGTGCTGAAGTGCTAAATGGCAGCATAGGAACCAGGTATTGCTAAACTACAACTTCCAGTAGCCCCAGCCAGCTACTGGATGATGAGAGATGCTGGGAGTTGAAGTTCAGTAGTATCTGGAGAATAAAAGATTTCTTTGCTTGCTTTAATATCTTGGACCAAGATCCTTAACTCTGTTAACGTTGCGGCAGAATTTGCTAACTGAGAAGAACTCTGTTCCAAGCAATAGTCCTGAATTATTCTTGGCAGCACCACGGTTTTAGAAAGAAGGATCAGTGAGACTTATTACTGAAAACTATTTTCTACAGAAAGGATTTACCACAGTTTTCACTGTACAGCAGAACTAACAGCCAGGAAAGGTTTTGTGAAAGTCCTCCCTATTTGTTAAGTACTGGGTAAGACACCGTTACCCAGATACTGTGTGCTGAATATTTCTGAAGAAGTGTATTCTATTTTGATGAGAGCATATGTGCTGCTATTGTTTAGAAGCAGCTGGTGAAGGAAGCTGTAGTTACTCTTTAGCTTTTGAGCAGCATGTAGTGGGGCAGAGATTATTATTATTATTATTATTATTATTATTATTATTATTATTATTATTATTATTATTATTATTATTATTATTATTATTATTAAATTCAATTTATATCCCGCCCTTCTCCTTGCGGACTCAGGGCGGCTGACAATCGATTAAAATACACAAATAACAATTACAAAGTTAAAATTAATTAAAAAGAAATATTTAAGCGTAGTCCAATTAAAATATAATTAAAACCCCTCTAAAAATTACCCTAGGCCAGTCCCGCAAGCTGGAATAAC